TTTCAGTTAATTTAATCGAGATCCAATAGAAAAAAGGAAATATTTACATTGACAGCATAGTGACTTATTGTAGTTTGACACATAATGGCATCCTGCAAAAAACGTCATAGATTATCAGATTATTGATTTATGTTATTGGTCAAACGTGAGATCAGATGCTGGTCTTTGTGTGACAAAAAAGGTTTTTCGCCCACGTCAAAGTGTTTGCTGCACTTATTAAACACGATTAAGGCTTCGTGGTAAATAATAAATGAAAAGATGTGAATAGGTGTGCGTTTGATCTGTGCTGTCAGGGTGGTAGTTCATTCTCGTACACCGTTCCCTCTTAGTTCCTAACGGAAAATCGAAGGCTCTGGTTGAAGACGAACGAGTCTTTGATGTGATTGGTTCAAACATTCCCATGCACCATGTATTTACGCACAACCCAGATTATTATTCTCCTACCAGAGCCTTCGATTTTTAGTTGGGAAACTGAGAAGGATCTGGRTTCGGGAATGGGAAGTAGTCATTCTTTGTTTTATACTCATTAATTATTCATAAWCTTGATTCTCTATGCATCATTTACCTCTGTAAAGATAGATAAGTTCTTTTGGTTTACTTGGTAAACACTCCTCCATGTGATATATCTAAGAATATTATTCGTGTCATCATAGTTATCAAATGCAAATATGGAATGTAATAATGCAAAATAACGTTTATATTACCTGGATGCTTATGTTCATTTTTGTTATCTTTTGGTATATCAAAAGGCTGATATTCGCTGTCTGAAAAATTGAATTTTTTCTTTATCAAAGACCCATTTACATCCGAGAACTTTTGCGCGATTTTCTCACATACGAGAAATCRCCATCTTTGATTCTGAACCACCGATCWAAGAGCAACTTTTCAACAACATATCCTTTTTAGAACAAAGCAAATGATCGTAAAGGTTATCGGATGCAGTTGGGCCTTTAAAACCATTCAGCTATTACCGAATAACAATGCAATGCAAACCGAAGGATGGAGCAACACAGATTACACATCAAATTTGTCAAATTCAGAGGTCTATTAGCTACCATCTCAGATGGMTTTGTRTTATWATTCATAYTTCTCTGTATGTGCCAATAGAGGATTCCCAACATGCGCYGGACAATATAAAAATATYGTAAGCACGCACGAGGTATTTTCAATCAAATGAGCGATCCTCGAAGCACAGCACAAGCATACCTTGTACGTGTCAGCGATACCTTTGAATGCGCCAGCGAGAATTTAGRAAAGAATACGGTATTCCATCTTACTAGAAAGTTTTAGATTCACGTTTACWGCAAACGCCAAACGTCACATTGGCTTTTACGCTTTGTGTCAAAATTTCAATCAAACGTAAAAACGCTTCAAAAGGAATGGCGATGCGCTTATGCACGAATAAGTCATCTATTTTATACAATCGCGAAAGAACGGAGCATTAATACAGAAAAACAGTGATAACGTGATCAGTTTTGACGTTTGGTGTTCGCCGTAAACGCGTATCTAAAACTCCCTAGCAGCCCACCCTCCTTGAGGAATATCAAGCAGAATCTGCCTGTCTTACCTTGTCAGTATTCAGAAGTGCAGTCTTCTGGTCCAATCCGATTTGTGGTCCTGGAATAGCTTTTGTTATCATTAGRTACTTTGCATTTTTCCCCATCAAGGCTGAAAATACGTATAGATAAACAAAAGAATCAAACTTAGGTATGATTTGAGGTGATCAGCAGCAGATTTTTCAGAAGCGCGTCAAAAAACGCACACAGTTTAGGGACTGTGAAATAATTACCAGGAGGGGGGCCGTAAAACCAGATTTTTTAAGCAGAAAATAAGTCAAAATCCCCCCCCCCCTCCTCCTCCGAAGCATAAGAAAATAGCTCTAGCTGTTATAACAACGTCGAACACCCCCCCTCCCCCCTAACTATTAACTTTAGTTATAAAACAAGCACAAGCGAGTCGAGTCAACTGTAGCAACGCAAAATTCACTAAAGACGAACCCAGATGCAAGAGGTGGCTTACTCATCTGGCCCTAAGTGTAAAGACAAAAACTTTTCAGGTGACGAGCTGACGGGGTCTGTTCTGCTAAATAACTGTTCTTGTATGAATTTGTTCMTGGGTAAATTAAAGAGATTTTACATTGGCTGCATTGTTGCTTCTTTCAATTATTTTTGTCCCAGGCAAAGGTTTTTTTTTAATGGTCTTAAACGACTTTGATATTACTTGTGCTTGTTATGTCTAATAATACATCATCAATATGTTTTTCAGCTTCTACATCTTCAATTTATGTGAAAACTACAKCCTCAATTTATGTGACAAAATTGAAAAAAATCAATAGTTGAAAAAAAATTTCATTCCTTGGTCAATTTCAATCCCACATCAACGAGTCTTTGAATGTAGATTTCCATTAGTCAGGCGCGAAGCGTGGACTTTTTATGCACATGTCAGGGACCGCGACACATATTTTGGATCTGGGGGTCTAACGACCGCAAAAGGCGGAAGCATTAAGGGAGTCTGGACCTCCCCCAGAAAATTTTGAAATAAATAACTCTTGGAAATGCGTTTTCCAGCGTTTTGAGARACATACGTAAGCATCGCGTACCTGATGAAGGYTTRAATGTCACTTGGAGTCGCAAATCATCCCCAGGATCGTTTCTTTCATAGTAAGCCAGCGGATTATAAACCGATTCAACGGCGTCTTGCTTTTCAAAAGCTGTTTAAAACACAATCTCTTTTAGAAGGACATTAGTCAATATTATTTTAGTATARAGAATAGACTTCTGAACCTTTAACGTCACTACTTGATCTTCAATGCATTGTGAGATTAGTTTCTAGAGAAAACAGAAGAAATCCGCCATGTTCGGTCCAAACATGTCTTACAATGCATTGCGTATACGGTACATTAGGTAAAGTCTTCAGAGGTCTATTGCCTCCAGTAAATCTTATGTCATTGTAATGAATTATACATGTATACCAAGTACGAGTACTTCAATTCATAAAGTATAGTTTAAAACACGAGAGGGAGTGTCAGTTTATCATGTATAAAGATTCGAGCCGATTCGAACCTGATAAAACACGATCTCGCTCGAGTGTTTTAAACGGCTTCAAAAATTCTTGGAGAAATTGTCGTAAAAATAAATTTTGAGATAAATGGGGCAAACTGATCATGCGCGAATCACTTTACAAAGCACTTAGTCTTGTCATCCCACATTGAATACACATAACGTAAAATAGAACCAATGTTGGATGATTACTGCGTTCGGTTGACTTCCTGCATTGGTCAATGATCCGGTATCAAACCTGAGACCTTTGCTAGGGTCATGGACCTTTATATCTGATAAAGGTCACCCTTATTAGTATTCTATATATAAAGAATACTAATAAGGAGTGTTTTATCAGATATAAAGGTCCATGCATGTGACCAAATAGGCTCATTCTATTGGCCTAATAACTCATTAATTATGTATGAGTTTTTGAAGTTTACTTAATAGTACTTTAAAATAATCTGGTGTAATTGAGATTTTTTATTTACTTACCAGCATTTCCGGATGCTGATTCTACTAAATTGCTATTTTCTGTTAAAGCCACAACGCTAAACTTGAAGGTTACGCCGTYATATGTTTGTYTTTGTMTTATGTYTCTTTTTTTATAGGTACAGGCTTGTTTAGCAGTTAGAGAWGCCAAAGAATCAAGATATACAATCTGGCAATAATGAGCAAATGATTTCAAGTGAGCAGATTAAATACTTATAATTTGCAGACTTTTGCATTATAGAACAATATAACCAAACCAACTGACCCATTCACACAAAGAACCAACTGGTATAGCTAACTAGTTTTAACTATAAAATAAGTGAACAAGCCAATCGTCAACCAAGCATTCAACTGAACCAGGAACTGAACCAACTCACCATCCAGCCCATCAAACTAGCAGCCCACCCACCCACTCACACCCACCCACCCACCCACTAACCAGCCTGACCATNACTGAAAATTCTAAAATCAGTAAGTTAAAGAAAATGCAATACATAAGATTTTGGGGTGGCTAGGAAGTAAAAGTAAAACGGAAAAAAATTAAATAAATCAGGAGGCTCTGTTTTCATTGTTATTGTTGTTGTTGCTGTTGTTGTTGTTGTTATTTATTGTTTTTGCCTTTTTTAAATCCATCCGAATGACGAGAAAGGCACCACAAAAGTGCACCACACAATCAGGAAGAGTCCATTTTTGATCAACGCTATCTTACCTGTAGGCATTCTGTACTTTGACAGGTTGAATCATTTTGTGGTATTTGTGATACCTACGAATTAAAGAAGCAAAAGAAATGATTAAAAAAATTGAACTTTAACCGAATTTTGCGCGCGCGCGTATATAAGTGACGTTGCAGTTGTCATGGTAACAATTGTCTGCAAAATCAAAGATGGCGATACTTGAGGCCGGTACACGTCCTTCCGCTCTCTATCTTTTCTGAGATACTTTATCTTTTAAAGGAGTCCTCGTAGATTTAATAACTTCAAGACAATCTTAATTTTCAAGCTCATATTTCATATGTTGTGTTTTTCCTCCTACCTGAAGAATCACACGTTAGTTTTCTAAAAACAATTGCTCAGCAAGTGCAGTCTTTATCTAAGTTAAATCCATCTACGAGTGGGTTTCAAGTGCATCACATTCAAGAAGTCGAAATGTTTAAGAGTTCAAAAAAAGCATGGACAATTCTTCAAGTGAGTGGCTTTGACTGAGTCGCTGCATGCTCCAAAATGGTGAGTCCTTTGGTTTAATAAGCTGAATTAAGCTTAATTGCTTTGACCTCTTTGAAAGTGAAGTGACATCTGCACTTTGAAAAAAGTGGAAAATAAAAACTTCAAAGTGACAAGCCAATCTTTATCAAGCAGTAGCGACTCAAGTGCTGACTCAAATTTCGTTGTTCATCGGTAAAATGTCAACTTTTTTTGAATTTTTCTTTTCGCGTTTTATAGTCTAATGTCAGTCACCTCGAAACACATAAAACTATAATTTAAACTGATGATCTATTTTTATGCATGTTTACAAAAAAGTTTAAGTTAAGCCATCTGATTTTGATATTGCTCTTTCAAGGGCCCTTGAATCTCAAAAAGTCCAAGGTTCGCTCCAATCTATAATTGGCCAAGATATAAATATTTTTCCATTTACTACTTAAGGAATAAAAGACGAAATTCCGTGTTTGATACTGCGGGATGTAGGGAGAGCACGAGAGAAGCGTAGGAAACCACGACGCGTAGCGGAGTGGTTTCCAGCTTTTCGAGTGCTCTCCCTACACCCCAAGTGTTTTGATCAGAGTATCAAACACGGAATTTCGTCTTTTATTTCTTTTCTAAAATTAAAATAAAAAAAGAAATTTTTGACGTGCGCGAGCGTGTTTTGATACTGTAATCAAACATGGTTTTCGACCAATCACAGCGCGCGTAGTATCCTAAATATTTTAGAATAATAGATAATCAATAGGTGTAATTGTCCAATGAAGGTGATTTATATATTGATAATGACATTTTTGACTATTTTTCCTCTTTGAGACTTGTATCTTTCAAGGAGAGAGATTTGAAAATAATTCATTAGAACAATCAATTTTTACATCTATTTTTGTAATTTTTGGTTCCGGTAACCCGAAGTAAATCGCTTTTCAATATTATTTGACTAAAGGAAGATTTTACCTTGTAAGGTTATGCAATGTACTGTTCAAACTTTTATTCCGCATTTTTGTTAAAGCACCATAAGAAACGATAATCATAAATTATCATATATTGATATTTTTAATTGGATTCTAGCTTATTCCCTCTAAATATAAATCCTAACACTACATAATGTTAAAGTCCGTAAAGACACTAGAAGGCTCTTTTTGTTTTGACTATTGTTCGCTTCTTGGCTATTTGCGGCTATTTTGAGATTTTACTTCCATATTCATATTTGTTGGTTCCTCAAAAACCTTGTAAAAAAATCGACGTAAATGATTGGTTTTTAATTAAAAAAATTTGAGCTTTTCCATTAATGTACAGAAATCATTTTTTGCCACTTTCTTGTTTAAGTACAATAAAACGATATTTATATATTATCATATATATTGATTTTGTTAATTGGATTCTAGCTTATTCTGTTCAAATAAAAATCCAAACGCGAGTACTGACTAGTTCCATTTCTTTTTGTTGGCAAAATAGCATCAAACTATTCTGTCAGAAGCGAAAGCAATATTCTGAAGCCAAAAAAGGCCAAATCTAGCCTTACTGCATTTCTGGCCGAGATAAATATGAAAGCACTATTCAAATACACTCGTATTTTGGTCAGGACCTAGTTTACAATATTCACTCAGCTGTTTTTATATCACAACTGACTTCGATGGCTTTAAATTATAGTTCTTAGCCTGCTTGTCTACCGTCTTTGGCTCTTGTACTAATTAATAGTAAGATCTCCAAACTAAGTTAGACGTTCTGTCTTGAGTGATAATAGGAAAAGTATCCCAAGGAGACGGCAATTACTTGGAACACGTCTTACTGTTCTTCATTCTTCAATAAGCAAGGCATTAAAACGGTTSAAGTGATTATATCTTAATGAATGATGAATTACGCCACATAGCTTCCATAAATTCCGGTTTCTTGAGTGTTTTTGTAATTTCACTTATTGAGCAGTGGAAGCGATTTCCATCCCAAMACTTCTAACCGATTTTAACTGTGCATGAATTACACGTTTGTTTTATATATGACCTTCTGTTCAAAGTCTAAACATACATGTAAATAGAGAAACTTACCAAAGTGATGCAGTTCGCATAACATCTCGCTTTCGTTACAGTCTTCGGATCGTCGAAAATGCCACAAGTTGCCGACCCACACAAACACACCAGGGCAAAGATGTGAAAAAATATGGCTTTCATGGCTGTTTCTCGAGCAACTTCATYCGTYTTTGAATTTATATTCTCTAGTCACGTTTACACAAAGAAGTTTGAATAGCTTGCATGAGCTGAAATGAAATGGACGAATGGTTTTGACGTATATGAATGTCATAATAGGACATGATGTCATGCATGCGATGATGGGAGGGTTTGAGCGAGAAAGGATGAGCGAGAATTGAAGTGTAGCGTCTGACCTATGATTACATTCAAATTATCTTCGACCATATCAAATTATCTAATAAGCCTTCACACATCTCACAGCATCAAATCAGTACAAATTTTAATATTCCTAATGTGGATATTGGAGATGTAGAGATCACAGATAAGAGAAAAGACTCAGTRGTGTGAAGTTTGAGCCCGCGGGATAAATACGAAATCTTCGTCATGTCAAATATGCCATCCTGCGTTTGTTCAGCTTGCAGTTTAATGTCTTAGCGAGAAATATTGACTTGGGTAAGAAWATGTCAATTAYTTCACTAAAATTGCCATCAATATCGCAAAACGGATCTTACTGACAAAGTTTAACATGTCATGCACTTCGTAATGTCAGGTTTTGCTGTCCCGTGCATAAACATTATGTGTGCTCTGAAAGTTGTATCATCGCACATCACTTGCCTTTTTTTTTAATGTTGTCGACTGTCACGTTCTGTAATCRCTTTGATCAAAGACTCTAGAATACGCTTGCTTAAATTTATGTTAATTTGAGGAGAGCTGAAGTGCTTGCTTTCAGTTTTCAGTTTCACATTTCATGACGTAAATACACTAGGAAATCGTGCTTACTAATAGTTTATGAAACTCTAAACTACTAATGAAAAGCGACTGAAATGAAGAGAAGTCTGATATTTCATGGATACTCAAATTTTATTTCCAAACATAGAACGATCATTGCTGTCAGGAAATATCGAGAACAATAAAAGGAAAAGACAAAAGAAAAACAGCAGAAATCAGTTAAAGCTATTAACAAAACAGATCAGACTGACTAACACAAAATGAAAGATAGAATATATCAGTGTATGCATTGTTTTAAGATGTGCAATTTTCCCCTTTATTTTCTATTAGAAACATGAAATGGATGTGAAGCTTTTGCGTATCAGTGATTTGTGATTAACTAGAGTACATATCATGAAGATAATGCCGTTCAACTATCCGGTGGTACCACGTGTATAACGATTGATAATGTCATGTAGTAACAGAAACAATCAGACTAAATGTTATCTATCCACATAAATCCGCGCAGGGTACGACGAAAGGCTTGGTGTGTAGTTATATAAGAATATAATTGCGTCCATTTTCAAAGCTGAAAACCATCAAAACTGTTGTAACTTTAACGAATTGAGCCTGGCTTATACCTTTATTACAACATTGAAAAAATATTGATTTAGTCATTCTTCTTTGTCAGTTCTCCACAATTAAAAGTTATCAAAAAAGTTATTGTTTATAAACGGTTCAAGACAGTTAAGGTTTTCACATTTCTAAATTCAAAACTGGATTTAGATGAATCAGTTGAGTATTAAAAATCGTTATTTTTACCCGTTTAGGTAAGAGGCACTGCTTATATAAGATAAACATGAGTTGACTAAGATCTCAGAAAACCACTGACATAAGTCTATCTCAAAGACAATTATTATGGATGGAAAATGAATTAGGAATTAAAAAAAACACACACACACACAACAAGCTCTTGTAGGAACCCTTGTTCGTCACCTAGAAGTACTTTAATGTTTCACTTTCAAAAACACTCAGATTGACTAACCTTGAAAGTCATAAAGAACAAGACGTGCTTCATCGCTTATTGTCATTTGATCGAAACAGTGAAACCAGGAAGCAATCCACCCAAGATACACTTATCATATTGATTGAAGCTGAGGATCTCCGGCCATTAGATCATAAGCCAGGAAACATTTAATACATGACTCATTGTCTGGTATCTCGCTTGAGTTTCTTTTATTCAACTTCAAATCGTGTAATAAAGCRACAATCACGAACTCTGTTACATGATTGGCTGATGTGATTCTTCTCTATTGAGTGACAAGTCGAGAGTGGATCATATTGAAGAAGTCTCGTGACTTTTGCTTTGTTTTTAAAACTTCAACATGATATCATCTTGTCAATTAAAATGGAAATGGTATTTCATAAGTGGTACGACACTTTTAAGAATACGATCACGAAAAATATGACTTCTGATTGGCTAGCACATAAAATAGTTATTGAGTATATGTTGGCTTAAGTTTCGATTTTCCAGAGTAAATATTCAGCCTATTTTAACAAAATTTACGAAATCATATTTGAGTCAAATTCAAGAAAAAAACAATTCCTACATTTTCGAGGTGAAAAGCTTATGGTCTTATTGTAGACTTGTCTCTACTCGCTACTATAAACCTAGTCGGTAAGGAAGAATGGAATTGATAAATTTTGTTATTAGAAATATTGGGCAATACTGGACCATGACAAATCGTTGATTTGAAACAATACCGGGATATGATATGACGTCATGATCGCTCCACCCAAATATGAAATCATATAGCTTAATAACGTCATCATCGTTATTACTGATTTTTTATACATACTTAGTCTCAACGTCATCAGTATCAAATAACCTAAAATATACTACACAACGAAACCAATTCCTAAATGCGTACTCGACATATATAATAAATGTACAGTGCCAAAAAGTTTCGCACTTAAAACGTAGTTGACACCCTTCCGAAGGACACGCGATCACTCGTTATATTACTCCAAACAATATGACACGAACTTAAGCGTTGACCAGTCCATTTGACAGTCCTTCAGTTTAGAAATGAGCGCTTATTACTTGGTAGTTTGTCATTGAGCAATATTTGTACAGGTTTTGTATTGCACAATGGCTAGTACTACACTAGGTGTTTTGGTGCAGTATCATGTTTGAATAAAATGTTACTATTGTTTTTAGTAAAAAAAACCTTTCTTTTAAAAAAATAATTTTAAAAGCAGTACTGAACTCTAGTGTAGTTTAAGTGTATTGAAACATTGMAAGTTTTGAAATTGATTGAATATTGAATTTTGAGCCAGCTGAATGGGWAAAAGTCCCCGCAAAAATCAGAGCAAAATCATCAAGCAGTGAAAGCGATCTCTGCTTAAAACATCTCAATTTACCTGAATGAATTTTCGTCTTTTCAATGACCAACTTGGATTATATCTTGAAATCTATCTTAACAGATCTTCTCTGTAAAAAAAAATAAGAATAAATAAATATGAATGCGAAATATAGGATAGAAAATAAAATGAACTAATGATAATTTCAACATGATGAGACATTGAATCTTTCAAGGATTTTTCATGATGAGATTACCCGAATCAGTTGAATGCGAGTACAAATTTGATGTTGCAAGCTTCTATGAAGTCAAGAAAAACAGCTTCATGCACCTTGCGTTCTCTTTTTGAACACGTTCTCTTCCTTTTCTCTAGTATTCTTTGAATAACCGCTTCYTGCGGAGTGAGTACTGTATCAAACAAGTAAAAAAAAAGCAAAAAAAAAACTGATTGGTGGTTTTTAGAACATGAAATAGAAATTGATTGGTTATAATTGATAGTTCTGAGAGTACGTCACATTGAATATATACCGCGCAGGACTGGTCTAGTGTAATTCAGCAGCAGTTCAGTTGTATTTTCTCCTATTCTCTTTGTGTCGTCTGATTTTGATCATGTGATAAAGCTACAGGGAATTATTTGGCTTTGGAAAACGAAAGATTTTGATTCAATTATAGCAGGAAAACGATATTAAAGTCTTGGAAAGTATGCGTTTGTCAAACTATAATCAAACTTCGTTGCTACATATTTTACTACAATTTTAATTGCAGTTTTTTTGGCCATTTTACGCTATTATTTACCTTGGAGCAATATATATCTTGTGGTTTTTAGCTCATTTTCGCGGACATCAGTTGAAATCGAACAAAGCACAAACCAGCTGAACTAAGAGGTTGTCAAACACTAACGCGTTTCAAATCACAGAGTGTTATATCAGTTTATGCTAGACTTGCTTTAAATGAGATGGTTGATAACAGTATATTCGTGCATACAGTGTGGAGTCATGGGAATGAAAGAAAAAATGAAGGATGAAAGTTGAGAGAAAATGAAAATAAAATATATGGAACCAACATATAAGTGAAAGCTGGAAGCAAATGCAATATGTTTACGAATATGAAAGAAATCGAGGAAATTGGCCCAACCAAGAAATTTAATTAAGAAATTTTCATTTTGACGCCAAGGACGATGAAACTTCTCTTTCGTAATTGCATTATAAAAGTTAGACCCACAAAACGTTATTGCCCGAAGCAGATCGGGAGCTTCTAGCAGTCTAGTAACGAGGTATATATTTTTTGCTGTTGATCCGGATGAACAAAGGCTAAAAAAGGTGTTTCCGATCCCAAAACTCCGTACATTTGTGATCCCTGATCCCCTTCTATGATCCCCGATCCCAGTTGAAAAACCTTTGATCTAAGGTTAAATAGATTGGATCCGGATCCTGACCTTAAATCCTAATCCCAAAATAGCCCCAAAAGTGATGCTGATCCCTGATCCCAAGACCTCGTTACTAGCTGTTATAGGATCGGATATCGAATTGTTTGACACTGGTTGATATTCATTGATATCATCTAACAAGCCAGGCTCTAGAGGAACGAATATAAATTTTGAAATTATTACGGCCATTAAAGCACTTGAGTATTTCAGAGATATTCGGGATTTTCCTGAAAAGGTCGTGAAGAGTTTCCTGGGAAAAATTCCTAGAGCCTATTCCTCTCCGTGATTAAAAAAAAATATTTCTGAATGTATTATAACTTTGCTCGCAACCAGTTGTGACTTACAGCTGGCTAGGACATAAGAATAGATATATTTCTCCCAGGAACCCGTCGGCTCCTATTGACGAAACTGCGATCACTCAAATTCCTCAAACCCAGGCCTCCCTCATTTTTACGGTAAGAGCCTGGGATCGAATTTGTGCTTTTAAGATATCAAAGCTGCGAAACAAGTAAAGAAAAACTTAAGTAAATAGACCATGCAAATAACTAAAGGCAACAGCAACAAATATAAACACTGAACATCACCATGTTTGCTTCAAGCAAGCAATAGAAGGCTTCAATGTCATGCATTTCGAAATTCTTAAACAATATGCCAGAAAAACACAGTCATTGGAAGGACACTTCCGTCCGTAGTGGCAAAGTCTGTCTGGGAAAATTCAACCAACTTGGCATACATTATAAATGCCAGGTTGCCTATCAAAGAATTTGTTTTCTAGTTCTCTATCCACATGTTTTGTTTTAGATGTCTCTTGACCCAATGGTTGTATGTTAAAATACGCTTTCAAAGTCATAATAATATAATATTGACCTTTTAACTACTTGATGTTCTTAATTCTGACCAATGTAAAATTACGGTTCCTCTTCTATCTTCCATCTCTTATATGTTTTTGAGAATTGTTTGTATAAATTACTAACATGTGAAATTAAAAACTAATTAACTGCAGTTTTAGAATACTTACCAAATAACCCTTTGCCTGTGTTAATGTGCATGTATTTACTTATGAAGAAGCCGTCTATCAAAAAACAGGTTTACAGCGCTTTGTGCTATTGACCACCGGTCACATTTTTCAAACTGTTATACTTCAAATGCGCTGTTAAGATTATTGCTCTTTTTTCTTTGATAAGGGTCACTACTATTTTTATCAAACATCATTCCGAATACAATAGAACTACTGGGGATGGTAAGAGGAACCGACATCCATTCAAGATAACACCGAAGATCTTGTCGGCGCGGAAGAAAGTTCACTAGTAGAATACTTTGCCATGTTCGAAAGATGAACCGCTTCTTATTGTCGTATGATCTGCTAAAACTTTTTGGCGAAAACCTTTAGAAAATGCTAAGTGATTGACTAGTGTTTTTAATCTTAAAAGAATAAAGTGAAATAGAACAGAAATTTATTGTTTAAACAAATGGGTGAATACCGTTATCGACTACTAAGATCTATATAAACGAGCTGTAATGAAGCTTGAAATGGGCTTACAAAGCAAGGTCAAAAAGGTTTTCTGTTCAAAACTAAAAGCCAGGAAGCAATATTCAAAGTGRCTAATACGATGCCCTTACCTGAAGAGAAATCCAATATCTTTGATTTCATTAAAACGGTTTTTGCGGATCTGAAAGCCCACCAGTTGTCAGTTTGGCCAAACCAAAAAAATCCTTCAAAAAAGGTTTTTTCAAGATTATTTTCAAAGAACAACAAACATACGCATCTGACACGGCACGGAAGCTTTTTTTCTTGTTTACAGGACTTCGTGAAACCTTTAAAGATGTCGCGATAAATGAGCGATAATTTTCGCAGTTTGATTCAGTTTTCTATGCACATTACATTAAAATATAAATGATTCAGAGAAGAGGACACTTAAGCATATAATTACAGATTTCGCTGTTGATTGCCGAGGGCTAAGCGTTGTTTACCGTCTCTTTTTGTTCGGGCGTTATTTTGAAACCGAAAAAAACATGAAAATCCGTTGACGTAATGTGCTTGTCTTTTGTTGATGTTAATAAAATTCTGCTGTAAGTCAGATAAATACTACTTTGCTGTAGGTGTTTACAATTATTAATTCAATGATCCACCGTGCTGTGATTGATGCCTGTCAAGATGAAGTCATTTTTCTTGCCGTTTAACTCTTGAAAAACGTTATCGCCCTTAATTGTGTTAGACAAATATACCTCATAAGGAAGATTTTGTGGGGAATTATCATAATGTCTTCGTCAAGAGTTCTACGCAAAGTTTTCATGCATTCTACAAGGAAATTTACAATGATGGAAAATGGGAAACTAGAATTCACCACACAACTTTAACTAGTGTAGCGTAAACGCTAAAATTAAGTCCAAACATTGTTTCAAATAAAAGCTGGAGTTATTACAACACAAAATAAGTTCATTTGTCTAGTGATTACTACACCTTTTTTCAATTAGCAGGGATAAACAAATAATATTATCTAAAAGGGAAAACATACTTGAAGAATTGCTAAGCAGCTTATTCTTTTTGTTATTACAGTGAGTTAGACATTATTTCAAACAAATTTAATAGACCTTATTTTCGATAGTTTGATGAATTCATATTTCATGTTTTAATAGTCGATGTTCTAATCTTTTTTTACATTTTCTTTCGGCATTGTTGCTACGCATTTGATTACTCATAGTGTAGGCGTTGAATTAAATGTTTATGTTTTTTTCTAGTTAATTGTTGTCCACATTTGAAAAGCAATCTTTTTGCAGTACTCATGTGTTTGAATATAACATTTTTTTTTCAGGTGGCGCTTCGGCGGCGCTCTAAACTGCTTGCTACTTGAAACAGTCAATGTATTTCAGAAGTTGAAGCATTCTAAACTTTTTGTACTACAATCCGTAAGTTAATTAAAGATAAAGTATTACTGTACGTACGAGGTGATAAATTTGTGTAGTGACAACTTACAACAATATTTCCCTGTTTGCCGGACATCGCGTAACTTATTTCTCTTTCAATAAAAACGAAAATGACAAAAAAAAACCTTCCGTGTTAAGAGATTAGTCACGTGACGTACAACCATGTTATGCATCCATTCTAATTTTTAATGTCAGAGAGTTGGCCAGCTTTCAAATTCCTACAGTTTTAAAACCAATTTATATATTCAATATGATAAAAGTTACTTAAAGTTTACCTCAAGAATCGTAGACAGTTTCCAATCGTTTTACTGGCTACACGATTGTTAATTGCTCTAGATATTCCCATCAAAGTACATGTTATGCCGGCAATTAAAGGTTAAATTTCCAAACTTTATGCACAAATTCTGAGTTTTTAAAGTCTCACGTCGAAAGCAGCTAGTCTGCTATGATTGACGTTCTTCACAAGATTCATAAGTTACTCACCGTTCTTCATAGACGCCATCTTGAAAAGATAACAAGTAATCGTCCAAATAACGTAGAATGTTTAACGACAGTAAAACCATCGATAAATTACTTTTTCTTGCTTTTTCATGTAGCACGTCACATAAAACTCAGTCTTTAGACACAAATATTAAAGTGAAAATATTAAAGTTTTCAAATTCGTTTTTTACCGGCGTGAGGCAAGTTTGGCTGAGATTATTCGCTGAAAGAAATATTTTGCAATACAAGTCTGTTATTAAAATGAGACTACTTTAATTCATTGTCTTTCTGCTCTCTAGGGAATTATTTATAAGATGAARTAATTMACTGAGCAGTTTTGCCAGACTCCGACGCGAAGCCCTTGGAAGCATTCACCCATGCCAGYTTGCTYCTAACGGAGGGACGGGTCAGTAAGGCTAAAGTAGTGACATTGGTCGCATTTGTTGTGTGATTTATAAATTTAAAAGAATGTTTGACTATATGGTTAACACTTTATTGACTTCATTGTCTTGTAGAAGAAATATCAATACATTTATGATGATACATTTTAATATGATTTGCTTAGTAAAACTGAACACAGAAGAATAATACAATGAAGTGTTTCTTAAAACGTCCAACATGGTGGAATTCACCTGTTTTATCTGCATATGTACTGAATATAATATACCTTTGAAGAGTGTGCTGTATTGATTAAAATTTTATTCAGACAATATAATCATAATGTGGAAGATTCTTTCTTATTGAATTTTTAATGACTTGAAAGGAATCAATACCATTTTGAAGTTTAACAACTCCGCGATATTTTTAACATATCTAAGAACTGATGTCGCCAAATAGCGTACTTTTTACTTAGAGATATCGCGGAACTAAATGACTTTGGGGTAGACCCCACACAAAAAGAAAGTTCGCCAAAAGTGATTCCAACTGTTCTTGATATTCTCTTGTATGGACCTATCATCTTGTCTGGTTATTTTACACAAAATGTACGTAATCGTAGTTGCTCATATCAACGACCTGGTCCATGCTCTCTTTGCATTCTTCAATATCGTTATTCTTCAGTTTATTCCCATTCCCATCTAGTTTTTCGATTCCATTCATATTTCCATCTTTGAACTCTTGCTCGGTATCTTTCTTAACTTTCATTTCACAGGAAATATGAATGCCGTTATCTGCCACGTTGYCGTCATACGAATCTGAATGATCCATAAATTCGTTCTCAAAACAAGGATCGKTTTGYTKATCGGCATCTTTCCTTCCAAAAACTTCCACGAACACGTCATCGTCTAATTCGTCAGTATCTTCGATACTCTTGAACGACGGGACTTGATARTAGAGGAGCGACTCGTCCACAGAGCTTGGATCAAAGTATGGATTGTCTCTCATCATCATTTCCTCCAGTTTTAATTCAAGAGCTGAGAATGTTGGACGATCGTCTGGTGCCTCGTGCCAGCAATCTATCATGATGTCATAGCTGAAAGTAATACATCGTTCTATAATTTATCCTGTACGTCAAATGAAAGTTCCGACGTAACAATTGACTTACATTTCATTGTCGCACGTGTCGGGTTTTTCCATTCGATAGCCATTTCTTAAACACTGAATTAGCTCTTTGACGCTTTTGGTGGGATATGGAGTGCCACCTTGATAGCACATCAAGTAATGAATGGATGAACGAATGCAAGAATGAACAAATGAAAAAATGAATGAAAGATCTTCCAACTAAATGACTTACCAAGAGTGAAGAGTTCCCAGAGTAGTATCCCATACGACCAACTATAAGTAGAGACATCATTTTTCAGTAACAATTCATTTTATCGCGTGTTTTTATAAAAAATGAAAACATGCAATAGATTTTTTACCCTGTAATTTTAACTTACACGTCACTCTTTTCTGTGAAGTTTTGATCAAAAATAGCTTCAATACTCATCCATTTTATAGGAAGACGACGGCTGGTCTGGGCCTGGTACAAACTGTTGTACATGTGACGTGTCAGGCCAAAGTCGGCAATCTTTGCTTCTTTGTTTTCACCGACAAGAACATTACGAGCGGCGAGATCACGATGGACGTATCCACGCCTTGTTAAAAATTCCTGTTTTAACACACAAATACTTTCAAAAACACCGAATCGTACATGAGGCAAGCTCAATGCAAACCGACACATGTTAGATTCGACGTTTGAAATACACTCTCTCTTACCATTCCTTTTGACACTTGCCAAGCAAAAGCCATCAGATCTGCGCATGTCAATATGTCATCATCTACGTCATCATAACTGTCTAAATGCATGATGTCAATTCCATTGTTGTTGGTTGGTCTAGAATTCTTTATTGATTTAAGTTCGATACCATCAGCGTCATCAAAGCCTATGTTGTGTTTTCCCTTAACGTTCATATCGTGCGAGTCAACGGGCTGTGAAAACAAAGGAAAACTAATAATGAAGCAAGAAAAGAGAGATCAGAAGGGAAGCCATTCGATAGAACAGCATTGCTAAAGGGCCATGGTCCACCAGAATTCACTACGGTCGTGTTTTAGATTTTTCCAATATAAGAAAGTTTTAACCTATGTGATCTTCTCTTGTGATTTTGAAATTCATACCTTGAGGTAGTCTTCGTTGTCCACGACGAAGTTGTTTTGGTTCATATAATAGGTATAATGATAACAGTTTTTGTAGCCATTCCTAGTTGATAAATCTTTTACCTGTACCGTTGATAGTATAAAATAAAGTTAGTGAATCACCATGATTTGCATTGTTCCATTTTTGAGTATTAAATCAGTATATTTCAAACATTCAAAGTGTTTTGGATAGTGAAATCGTTCTCACTTTATAATCCTTTTACGTTTGGTGCATCATGCACCATGTTTAGCAATTATTTGCTGAAGGCTAAGGGTGCTTTCCATTTAGGCAGAACTGACCGGCCAGTCCACTCTATTTAGAGGTATATAATGCTTTTTGTCAACATTTTYCAGTCATTTCGAGGTTTTCTGTAGAATAATGGATAGAAYTYGAAAMTYYGAATTTCCTAACTAAATGGGAATGATATATAATGACATTTYCTCTGGGTCTGGCCAGCCAGTTCTGACAAATGGAAAGCGCACTAAGGCTGATAACCGTTGAATTGTCATGGAGAACTAGTCTGTATTTGTGAAGAATTTTTGAGAAAAACAATGAAGCAATAGTCAAATTAAGAAAAGAAAAAATGAAAACAACAAACAAACAAACAAATGTACGAGGACTGACTGACTTATCTTCTGATTTTCAYACAAATATTTCACTTTTTTTGTTCCAGTTTTTTTATTCTACTCTACCTTACTACGTCTGTCCCTGAGGTAGTGGAGTAGATCACCATTAGGTAGATATTCCACGATAAGAAACATTGGGTCACTGAGTGTRCCACAACCCAACATGTTCACGATGTTACGATGTGAGCCAACGTCTTTCATAAGCTGGATTTCCTTCAGAAACTCTCTCCTCTCATCTTCAGTGACGACTAGGGAATCTGCAAATTATATTCAAAAATGCAAAAACTCCATAAGAATGATACTTTGGGTTCACAGTGAAAACCAGTTTTCAACAACAGTGACAGGGATTTATGAATTTGTCAAATCTTGCTAATTTATTTCCTTCATCATGAAGATTTCAGATATTCATAAAAAAATCGCGCTTAAGACAAACTGAAGGTGAGCGTGCTTAGAAAACTTACTAAAAAATATAAACAAAACATTAGTTAAAGTCCCACTTGCTACAATAGTAAAATTTACTCGTTGAAAACATACCTTGCAGCATCTTAACTGCCACAAGATGACCTTCTTCAATTTTACACGGACTTGAAGAGCTGACCGAGCTTGATTTTCCCTTGGAGACCGCTGATGCCTCCTTTGGTAGGTTTAGTAGAATCGCTTTATATACTCTACCAAAGGCTCCTTCTCCAAGACATTGTTCAAGTTGCAGATCATCGAGAGCAACTTCCCAGTGATCGACAGTCATGAAATCAGAACTGCGAAAGACAATGTCGTTGACTGTCAAATACTTGTCTATGTGATGGGATAGTTTATTGATGGTCTCTCTGACTGCATGTCTTGCAGGCTCAAATCTGATTGATTAGTTGATTGATAGATTGGCTGTCCCAGAAAAAATCTAGCGGTTAATCTAGATTGCCAACTAATCGAGCTCATATCTGACGAACGAATCACCTCACACGAAAACAGTCGTCACACACGAACCAGAGCAGCCTCTATACACGATCCAATCATCTTACAAGATCAAAGATGCAGTCGTATCACACGAGCGAATTACGAGTATCACACGAACGAATTACGAGTATCACACGAACGAAAACGAAGAAATCTAATTTCACAGGCAAAGAAAGGGACGAACAAATTTCAAGCGACGAAATGGCCCGAATTTATTCAAATTAGAAATTAGAAATTAGAAAAGCGATGACGTTTGGATCATATAAATGACTTCCCGTTGCAACTTACCCTGGCTTCCTTGGCCGGTCTTTTTGATGACGAGCAAGTATTATAGCAAAGAACAGCACTAGTAATACCAGCAACACCAAACCAGTAGATAAAAGAGCTATTTTCCAAGTTGTCCAAATGGTCTGGGAATAAAGCTCTATTGAAATATAAACAACGCCTCATTTTAAATACAGAAAGAATTCTCAAAAAAACGGCATCACCAAATCCACACCAAGAATTCTCAGTAATATCTTTATTACACCGGTTTAAAGGCATAAACTTACTCTATTGATAGCATTTTCCACGAAAAAATATCATGAACAAAGCAAAACTTTACTCGAGAAGACTAAGTTATTGGATCGATCCTTGTGTAAGTGTTCTTACTATGACGTGACGATCGACGCGCGCGAAGGTAAAGTTGCGGAATTGGGATATGAAATTACTTTTCTACGTAGCAATGCTCCTCATGTAAGAGTCTCTATCGATAAAATGTAATTGAAACTAAAATTAGCGTACCTGCAATTAGAGGCTCTGTTATTTTCAAACCCACTGTTTTCCCAGAAATTAGTTTATCTTTGAACACTGGAGTTACCTTAGAGAGAGAAAACAACTAGTTGAAACACATCAGTTGAATATCGTAAAAATCAAACTCACGAGAGATCATACCTCAACGTCAATCTGTTGTCCTTTTTCGAATCTATTGCGTTGGATATTGTAAGTTGTCTACGAAAAGAGCAAAATTATCAGAATTATCATCATCGGCAGCAATTATTCCATTACTATACTAACAGATACTTACCTCATTTGTAGTGCTGATATTTTGAGGCAAACTTTCAGAAGATCTTATTTCTCTTGACGATTTGACGTCAATTTCAGAAAATGCGTACCCAACGATGTAATGATCGACTGCACTATGTTGGAACAGCGGCTTATCCCAAGTGATGTTAAATGTTTGTGTCAGTTTTTCATGCTCAAGATGACGAACAACAACCAGACTGTCCTTTGGAGCTGTATCAAAAAAATATTCGTCGACTTAATATGAAGTTTAGAAGGAGGATATTATGCAAACATGCGCATCAGGAAATAACGTGATCACGTGATAATCTCACCTGGTGCTCGTTGATGTATTTTGATTGGTTCGCCGCGAAAAAACACAGTATTTGCAAACACGGGCTTCACCGTTAATTCCACTTGCTCACTTGGTAAAACACTCTGGATATTAATGCTGGTTGAAGTCTACAAGAGCAAGACATAAGTAGTCCATAATAATCCTTTGCACTGGTGACGTCATATTTCTTCGCGCGCGATGCATCATGGTATTTAAGATGGCGGATGTTTATAAAAACTATGAAAACTAAATATAATTTTTTTTTCTTCAAGTGTTTATCCTCTTCACTCTCATGTCTCAGCAAATAAATTCTTACCACAGCGGAGTCCAAACAGCCTCGTTTTGATGAGTTCTTTAGAGGACAATCTAATTCGTTGTCTTGGTAGCCCGTTAGTGTGTAAGTCACTTCATAAAACGACACGTTTCTGTCCATCTTCGGCGAGGACCATACGAACGTCATGTCATACATATTCCGCGTTTTGTTTTCAGTCATCGAAGGCATTAGAATATTCTGGACCTTTAAGTCATTTCTAGGCGGATCTGACAAAGAAATGATTATTAAGATCATAACCATTAAAGTGAATTAAGATCTGTACAAGTAGGATAAAGTCGAGACTCTGATTAAATGAAAGGAACTCGTGGAAATTATTTTGATCAAACTTCAGGACGATGCGATGAATAAACAAGTGCTTTCACTCAAAACGAGTCTTCATGAGCTACAAACGACAACAAAAGTCGATCAAACAAGAAATTAACGTCAAGTTATCTAAATCGTTACCATTGAACTTTGTGAAATTTACAAAACCGTGAAAAATTAATTTTTCTTAAAATATAGTTTATCAATCTATACCTGGAATTCGGAGAGATCTTGCAGTAGTGACAGTTTCGATCCAGGGATGTTGGTAGATTGGAATGAGCTTCGTTGAAAAAACATTACACAAAATCAAACACTGAAGTCCGAATTAGACAGCAAAAGTTTTGCTTACAACCATCACGTGCAACCTGAATAATTCATCCTTGCAACATTGCTGCAACATCCTCTAAAATGAAATTGCTGCAACCGTTGTAGGGATTTAAAAAACAATTGCTTTAATTGAGTCATAGCCCTTCGACAGTTGTAGCCCTGTTGTAAGGATGACATAAGCAAGTTGCATGCGATGGTTGTAGGCAAAAACTATGTTGTCTAATTCGGCAATGCAGCCAATGCGGCAACAATGGTAATTCGCTTTGTAATTGTTACGTCATAATTGATAATGACATGCGCATTACAGTTAACATGCGCGCGCATAATTAGTTGGCGATACGTCAAAGCCATTTATACGTCATAATCATTGCAATTGAATTGTATCGTTACGTAAATTATACGGATTTTTACGTAAGGAATTTTGCTATATTGATGAGCAAAGGAGAGCGAACGTCAGTGACGTTATTGTCGAGAAAAAAAGATGCGCGCGCATTTCATTTTCTTACGCATGTCACAAGATCACCAATGGTTACCTGATATTCTAGACTTTGACTAAAGTCTAGACCGCGCACAACGAAGAACTGTTTATCCTGAATTAAAAAAAAAAGCGAGAAAAAGTGGCAAAGCAATATAGGTTCTTATTCTTCACGTTCAATAAACGTTACAGCGGCCATCTTGAATTTCTCATTAGTATCTATTGTTTGTTCATCCAAGAAGGCCCCCGGTTCTTTTATCTTTTGAATTTCATGGGAATGATTGAAAACGATCAATCTGTCCTTTGTGATGAAAATATTCGAGTTTTGTTACCGTTGTAATTACTTTCCATGCTTGACCCTGTGCCGAGTAGGAAACGTTGTACCCTGTGATGGTACTGTAATTAAACAATGGTCTTGACCACGTGATGTTGACAGTGAACCAATCAGATGACGAGTAACTAGACATATTTTGCTGTATCGTCTGTATTGTTGTTTTGTTCACAGGAACATCTGAGAGAATAGGAAATGAATAAAATCACCATTATTGACATCATCTGATTATTATTATCATCATCATCATCATCATCATCATAAAATACATCATGATCATTAGCATCAATACAACTTCATCGCATGAAGGTGAGGGCGTTTCATTACCAGTTGTGTTGAAATTCAGCTGGGCTTTGACTCCAAGATCATCTATGTCTTGAAAGAATGGTGTTATCTGTAACAAAACGACAATATAATCAAAAATATGTGGCATTTTATAATTTTGATAAAACTATACAGTCCTTTAACTTATTTACATTGCTTAACAATAGAAGAATCGATGACAACCAAAATCAACTTACAGAAAACCTATACTCTCTTCCTGGCATTAGATTTTGTATGTAAAATCTAGGAGGTTTCTGAAATGATCAAAAACACTAATGACGACAATAACAAAAAGGAAAATAAACAAACCAAGGACAAAAACTTATTAGGCAAAAACTAACCAAACAGCCAACCAAACTGGCAACGAAATCAAACGAGAAACAAACCCACAAATCAACCAGCCAACCAGACCAAAACCAAAACAACCAGTTAAATTAAAAAACTTTTTTTTTCTTGCTGAAACTTACTACAAATATTCTTCTTGTCCTTTTGCGCCAATTAGTCCCAGTCTTGACCACATCATCGAGTACTAAAAAGTACTTTTCTACGCCTGGGCACGAGTGTATTGGCGGCTGCCACGTGAACTTAGTATTAAATCGGAAGTCTTTCGTCGCGCGTAACGGCGAGTATGCCAGGTTGCGTACTGCTCTTGAGGCATGCGATGTATTCTCTGGTTGGACTGTTTCAGTAAAAAAGGATTAAAAATAAATGGTTATAAAGGATTTGTG